TGCGACAATGCGCGTCGCGGGGCTGAGCGGATAACGGTGCGCGACTGAATGCCAAATTGCTGGCACGCGATTACCGGTGCCGCCAGTTAACAAGAAACAAACCCATTTCCCGGCAATCTCGATCCTCCGGGTGCGGAGGCGTTGCGCTCGCGAGCCGACTCCATCTCGGATTGCAATCGATAACCGCGTGCGTGCGCTCGACCCCTTCCGCTTCGGCCGTTTTCCACCACCGGCCCTTTCTCTCTTTCCGTGCGGCCGGCTGACTCCGTTAATTTACCCCGGGTATGGGGAATCGATCTCAGAAGAGTCGAATTTTTCCCGTCGTTCCCGACTTCTGGTCGGACGTCCTTTCTTCCCTACCACTGGCGCTCCAAGGCCTCGTCCACTCCGAGCTCCGCGGGTGCACCTCGTCGCCATTGTGGAGAACGCGCGCCATCCGGGCACGTGCGAGAAATACCGAGATTTTACCTTTCCTCCTTTTTCCCTGGACGAGACTTTTGATCGTCCGCGGGTTGCGAGGCTTCCGCGTCACCCCGGTTTCGAGACTCGCTCTCGGGTGCGGGAATACGATAGGAGATTGGAAAACGAGTTTGCCGGGTAGCTCCCGGATGCGTTGGTGCGGTAATTAACTTCGAAGGCGCTCGATTAAGGCTTCGCACGATACATCGGCTGAAATTTCGGCCAAGTACTCTCGACGAACTTAGGGGATCGAACGGAACGCCCACCCGGCGAGGGCCCGTTAATTATTAGCGACTTCATTACCCCGGGATTGGAATCCCTTTATGCTCATTGCTCGCTGGCATGTAACCGTTGCACTTCCGGCGAGTAATTCGACGAGGAGAAGGGATCCTTCTCAGGAATTGCCGCGAATAAGGCTCAACCTAAATTGCGAGATCCCGAAATCGCGAAATCGCGCGCGCGGAGCCGTCACGATGACGTACGACGAAACGGTTGAAATCGCATTTTGCCACGGATAACAAAAAGCTTAACGCTTCGTAACCTTCCGGGAGCGAAGCGCGCGGGCGCCGATTATTCCGGCTTCGAATTCTATTAACCAAAATGCCGAGAGAAGGATCCCGCCCGAAAAACCCGGGAATTCACGAGCGACGCTTTTTCCGGAACGATGCGCCATTCGGAATTCCGCGTTTTTTTCGTCCCGTCACCTCGACTGTTTTCCTCGCTTCCTTTTTTTCTCCCCCCACCGCGACGCTTCGCATTTTCGAGGTAAAACACGCGTGTCGAGGTGAAGTGCGAGGCGCGGCGTTTCCGGAGTCTGGATTCGCCCCGTGCCTCGCCGCGAGTTTTACGGGCACTTTGCGATAACCCGTAACAAAACTGCATCCGAACGAAAGCGATAAAATCCAAAGAAATCTCACCGGAGGTAGACGAGCTTCTGTAAACACGGATGTTAAACGTACGGATTGTTTGCGCGAGCAGTAAAAGTCAAAGGGACTTTGCTCGTGGGTGGAGGGAGGCGATGCCGCTCCAGGGACGAGGGGACGACGAACGAAAACGCCAACTTTTACATTTTATATTTTGTTTAATGTCCCGCTTCCGTGTACGTTCTATGGTGTGCACGTATACGTGCTCGCTTTGCCGAGACAATCGTAAAAATAATTCGCTAATGGCACTTTCAACGGTCGCACGGTGGCCGGCGAGATGACGGATGATATTCCCGAGGGAAAAATCCGGGCGCGCAGTTTCCGCCCGCGCCCTGCCGAAAACTCATTTCCATATCCCGTATTTCAGTTCATTTTTTAGAATTCATTTCCACTTCATATCCCCACTATTATGAAAATAGGGGCGCTGAGAATGTGACGCGGAATGCGAAAAGTTTCAACGGTGCTCCCGCCGTTGCCTGTGCTCGAGGAATTCGCGGCCGCGTTTTGGTCCGCGCTCGCGGTATCCGCCCCGCGTATTACGACTACCGAATCGCGGAATTATTGCCGCGTTCTCGACTCTCCCTTCTGCGACCCTCCCGAACAAAAAAAAAAGAAAAGTGGAAACGAATTAACTCTTTCCTTCGAAAGTGCGCTTTCGGGCGGAACCTTTTCTCTGTTTTTGCGGCGATTTCGCGAAACGCGTCCCCGTTCGAAGGTCCCGATATAAAATACCGCCGAGGCGATCATGTCCCGGAAACGGGAAGATGGATCGACCGTTGTTTCTTTCCTCCTATTTTTCGGGTATATTACGGGTACGTACGAGAGGGAGCTCGGTCGGACACGCGAAACGAGGCGACGCGCCCACGCCATTTCCCGCGAAGGGGTTGAAAACGACTTTACGGTCTATTTGCTAAGTGAAACGAAGCACCCCGTGATGGGGTTCGCCCCCGCGATCGGCCCGCTGCCCCCCAAGGATTCGGAACCGCGCACGGTTTACGGCTTTCGAGGGAGTAACGAGAACCGTAAGCGGGAAATCGGGCGATGAAGAATGCCGACGCAACTCTTGCTTGCTTGCGGGACGCAAGGTGGAGGGAACGCGGAATTTGCCTCGATTAGGTCGTCCGATTATTTTCCAAGGTGCCGGCTTTCGAAGGAACGATTCAACGCCGACTAACTGACTCGGTATAACGAATCAACGCGACCCGGATTAATTAAGAACTTAAGGGACGTCTCCACCGTCGAGCAAAATATCCGCCGTACGTCTCCGCATATACCCTACACTCCGCATTCTATGGGAAATGCACTCTGGAGATGCATCCCCCGGTGCTCCGGGGCATTTGCGCGGATGCGTGGGTTGCGGCGAATGGAATCCGATTTTCTAACCGAGGTGCGGCACAAAAGCCCCGGCCACCTCGAAGGCGCCAAAAGGTGAAACGAGAAACGACGAGTACCTCGGTGTCGCGACCACGATTTTCTTCTTTGTAGTCGCGTCCATTCTCGAAAGTAACAGCGAGTGCCGAAGTCGAGAAGCCGTGTTCCGGGTACTTCCCCAGGCGGGTTACCTGCGCGGACGACGCAGACGGAAAATACTTCGTTTCGAGGTACGAAAGGCAGGAATGGGGAATTTGACCCGAAAAAAATGAGAGGTCCGTTCCTCTTATTTTGGCATCCGGCAGAAGCGAGGAAGTCCCACTTGGTCGTGTCCTCGGTTAAATTCGACGTTAACCCTTTGAATTCCGAGAGCCGCGTTTCGAAGTAGCCCCCCGATTATACGTTACGCGTGGTCATGTAGGGCGCATCATGGCGGGGCACCCGGCCAGTATTTGCGGTTTCCCCGCACCGCACTCTCCGGGAACGATCGATTCCGTAGCCGAAGTATAACCGCGAGACGATAAACGTCCGCGCGATTCAACGGGCATCAGTTTTTACAGAACGACGTGGAAGTAGGGTCGGTCGCCTCGTCGGTTTCCGGGTCTCGCGCGGAAATTCCCCGGGAAATTCTTTATAGATTTCAGTTTCGAATTCATGGCGCCGGTGAATAAAATTTCCCGAGCGCGTCTCGTAAACTCGACTTTGTTCCTTACACCGGCAGGGGCCCTCCGATTCAGAGCGCCTGGAATTTTTTGAACCCCCTCTCGGCTCGGAGGTAACAGACGTACCGCGGAAATCGCAATATCTCGCGCAAACGTCCGAAAGTATGAATTTTGGAAAAATCCGCCGGCTGTTCGCGCCGGTTTCCCGTTCCTTTCGAGTCATGGTTTTATTCGCCTTTCGAGGGTGTTATATGCGCGCCGCGCTTTGACAATCCCTTTTCATCCCCGAGGGCCTGGGAGTGATAAAAATAAAGGTCCACGCTCGGCGAAGGAGGAGCGCTAGCGGAAGGGAGCACGAAACCTAAAATCCACTTTGCGAAATTAAACGTTAACGGGAGATAAAACTGCAGCCGGAGAAATACGGGCTCGGATTCGCCAACTTTCGGAAAAATCTATTCATTCTATTTGAATATCGGGCGCCGGCAAGAACAGCGCCGCGACCGTAGATCAAAGGGAAATTGAAACGTCAAACGTAAGCCGCGTTAGCAGCGAGATTTACCAGAGACGTCGCCGGTCACAGGAAGAGCTCGGAGTAATTTCTTTCCGCGGCCGCCCCATCCTTCGCCCCGGCATAAATATTTACGGTGTTCCTTGCAAGAGCCAAAGAATAAGGGATTCTCTCGGAGTTATTTCGAGCCTCGCCCCCAGCTTGCGAGACCGGCAAACTTGGTCCGCGTTTTTCCTAAGTCGCCGGCTATCTCGATGCGGCCGAGATGCCGCCGTTTTCCGGGGAACTCTCTTTCTCTCCCTCTCTCTCTCGCCGTTCCCGAAAATATTCCGGAGGGGAGTTTAAACGAAAGGAGGTCCGTCCGGGGGTTGAGCCCCGCGGATCGATCCGCGGCCGACCGGTCGCGGGGGAATTCCGCGCGTCCGATCTGGATCCCTCTTGGAAATACGTTCGATTACGCCCGAAAGCCGCGGTGGCGTATAAATAATCGCGCGGATAATGCCGAGTTAGCCGGGGTCGGACTCGTCGGCCCGGACGAGCTTTCGGATTCAAATAAGCTCATCAGGGTCCGAGCTTTTCGAGCTCGCGCCCCAGTTACGAGAGTTCGCCCGATCGCGTCGAGTTCGACCCGCGAGAAGTCCGGCCCGACTTGATGCTCTGGGGGCGGGGTCGCCCCCGCCGATGGGGTTGCCTGTCTCGGCGCGATATCGTCGTTGCGCTTTATCACGCGGCGGATTTATTGACGGGGAAGGGCCAGGGCGGACGTATAAACTCTTCCCTTTCGGAGCCGATCGTCCGTTTCGCGTTTCGACCAATCGCCATCGAGTTTCCGCTCCCCTGTTTTCAATTCCCTAATGGAGCCCCCGAAATGGAGAAACGATAAGGGCTCGTCGATGTCGGCATTGCGAATTAGCCGACCGCTCATGACACGGAATTTCGCGATTTGGCTCGATTCGCTCCCGACGCGGCCGGAAGGCGAGATCGAGTTTCGTCGTAAATCTCCCCGCGACGAAAATATCGCCGGAATCGATTCGGTTTGTCGGTTTTTCCGCGCCAGCTCGATTCTCGTCGACTTACCGAAAAGAAACGTGGAGAGGAGAAGGAGCATAATCATGTTGAGTCCGGGGATTCCATTCCTGTGGCGATCACGGGGTCGATCGGTCGGCGATCCCGGCAGAGGAGTCCGACTCTTCCAGGACATCTCATAGACCGTCGGGATCGATCGATCGTACATCGATTCCCAGGTGTATCGTTCGCCGGGCCTCCTCTCAGGTAACGCGTTCCTCGAGATCGGCCATGGCACTTGTCATCCCTCGAAACGCTCCCGACCTATCGATTCATCGGCAAAGGGGCCACATGGGAGAACGGCGGAAGAAATTCCCGTTCGAGAAGATCGCTCGCGTATCTCCGGTCTCGGGCGAGGTCGATAGGGAGGCGAAGGAACGCCGGGGCGGATAAGAAAGGCACTTGGCGTCGACTCGAGCCTACTTAGGCCCGGTAATAAATTTTCGATCGACGATCACGCCCCGACGTCGACAAAGTGGACGAGCAAACGATCGGGTGGAGCGGCGAGAAGGAAAGTTTACTCTCGGGAGGAAAATTCCCTCCCCTCGAGGAGTTCGGTCAATCCCGAGATGGCCGAGGGCAACGAGCGCGCCGACGTATTCGTCCACTCCGAGTCCCCTTCCTCGGCGCCGATTTTTCTCCCCCGAGTTTAACGGACCGGGGAAGCTCGCGGAAGTTTTCATTTGGTCCGAAAGTCGCGACGAAACGCGTAATTAAGAGCGACGGTCGATAATTCATTCATCGATTGGCCGCTCTCGTGTCCATCGACGGGCTCCTCTCGCGAGCCCGGGTGCTTTAATTGGCGGCAAAGGTAATTCGGTCGCGATCGAATTCGCGTAATGGCACGCCCAGCCGCAACGACCCTGGCCGCAAATCATTTTAATGCCGGAATTAATTCTCGATGCAGGGGCGCTCCTCGGATATGAATTTCGCCGGCCAAGACGGCCCTCCGGCCGAAGTTCCGATCAGCGGCGACCGCGATCGCGCGTCCGTTCCGGCGTCGAATATCGACGACGACGGACGCGTCGAGAGGTCGCACCGGCCTGTTGATTCGTTCGGCTCCGCCGACGAAGTATTCCTGTCGCGACGCCGCGAATAAAATGCCGAATCGGAGACGAGAAGAACCGCCGATGTTACGTCCGCATACCTCGGGGAAAGGAAGACGACTTAACGCGAATTTATTACACGAGGGGGAGTCGTAACTCACGGCCGTTCCGTAACGAGTCGCCTCGAAGAATCCAACGAAAGATGCCCAATTTTGAGAAGCGGGCAACCGGTGCGGCTCGATTTCAAAATTCCTCCGGACGTCCGGAGTCGAGAACGGGCAGAAAGGGGCGAGGGTGGGCGACTACGCGGCGGAGAAATAAATGAAAGGGCGAACGAAGACGTACGACGATTTAATCGATGACGCACGAGTCCGGGGTCGGAGGTCGATAGTTACGAGCCGAGCGATCTCCTCGAACGTCGTTCGCCCGAGACGTTTCACTCCCGGCGACTGACCTCTCCTTTACGTCCACGTTTCACCCCGCGGGTACCGCCGCGAAAGATGTCATTTCCGCCACTTTAAAGAGTCGTGCCACTTGCCAGGGTAAGCAACACCTCGAGATATCCTCGTCGCCCCCGCGCGCGGCCCATAAATCGGCGAAGCCGTAACTCGACGGTAATCGCCGTCGATCCTAATAAACTCTTGTCGTCGTCCGATCGCCGCCGATATTTCTCGCCCCGAGGAATCGACCCGCTCGACGAATCCCTCTCGGGATTCGACCCCGTCTCGCGAGAGCGCCTCTCGAAAAACCAAACGACTCGATAATTCACTCGATGACGTATCCCGAGTCGAGAGCCGCTCTCTCCCTCTCTCGATAACTCGATTTTTGCGGGCCGTCGAATTTCGAGGACTCCCTCTCTTCCCTCGATTCTCCGCTGGCCATTTAGATCAAAAATCGCGATCGAGGTCCGGCCTCTCCGTCGAAACGAAAAAGAGTTCACTCCCGGCCGAACACTCGACGTCCCTCGCCTCACCTCCGACGAGGCGAGTCACATAGCTCCTCCTTAGGGCGTCGCGACGCGACTCGTCGCGCTCGAGGGACGCTTCCGGCGCGCACTATCCGCAGTCGCGCGGACTGGCGCGGGTCGCGAGGTTCCTCCCGGGGCGAGGGTCGTTCATCCTCGGTGAGTGGACGATCGCCCACGGGGGCTGCGCGAGGAGGATCCGAGGAGCAGCCGAGCAGGGCGCGTGCGAGGCGCGTGCACCGCGTCGGCCCGCCGTGCCGCGCGAAATGCTCTCGTGGTGGCGACCGCGATCCGACTGCGCCAGCGCTTAGCTAGATATCAGCCCCCGACCACCGCCGTCAACTCTTACCACCTCCAGTACCCTCCGCCCCTCTGGCCCGCCATCTACCGACCGCGTACGATCAAATCCGCCCCCACGAGTCGTCCGCTCCCGATTCCGCCCTCCGGCATAAGATCGGATCGAATCGGATCGGCCGTTCGAGGGCTCGATCGAAGAGACTCCGGGAAAAGTTCGCAAGGGTCGGACTTTTCCCGGCGATCGCGGAAGGACGAGCTCGCCAATGGACGGCGCCGCAACCGTGAGCAAAACGGGGTAAATGCGGCGATAACGAAGGACGACGGTGTACGTTCGTTTTCGATTATTAGCCATCCGCTTTTTTGGTCCTCGCGGCCCCTAGGCTCGACGTAATAAAGTATTATTCGTAAACGGTTCGAGGGATGAAAAATTGCACGACGAAATGATTTTCTGACGCGGTAGTCAGGTAGAGGGTTGGCACTCCCTCTACCCCGGTACGACTATTACCCCTGGAATATATTTTCGCATATGAGGCTTAGGAAAAATGGATTTACGTCGCCCCGGACGAATGTGTAATAATCTTCGGATAATGCGGGTTCCCTCCTCGCTCGTTTTTCGCTCCCTCTTCCGCCCTCGTTTGCCCTCCCCTTGGACTCGAATACGGTCTCCTCGCTGTCGCGTAAAATCGTACTTAGCCCTGTCAGCGATACGTATGGCGATCCGGACAGGGGATACGTCACTCCTCCCGACCCGTCTTCTCTCGGATTACCATCTATCCTTTCGATGCCATTTCCGTGTATCAATCGCGCCGAGGGCGGTCTCTAAAAATTTTTCGTTTACCCGCCGTAACGTGGTTGCGGGAAGAACGCGCGCTCGTGTGCGGAATGGCTCTCGCGGTGGAAACATATATCGTGGACCGAGCTGGCACGTGACCGCCTTGCGGACGTATGGTCGCGAATGTCCAAGATTTACTGCACCCGATCGCATACCTAAGGCGTACGGAAGCGTCCATGAAATACGCGTAAGCCAGCGATGGGGAAGATTCACGGGAAGCTGGAACTTCTCGGGGGTCGCGGATAAATCCGCGGGCCAAATGGCGCTCGCGAGACTCGCGGCGATCCTGGAATCGGGAAATCGGGAAGCTGGAAATTGTCTAACGTTGCGTTTGCCAGTTAGCTGGGACGTATTATCGAACCGTGCCGGAGACCGATCCCTGGACCGGAGTCGCCGACGTCTGGGATGGACGTGTTTATTACGCCGGGTCGAGGTTTCGGACGGACCGGCCCTGTCGGGGTGACGGGACCGCGATCGAGAAAGGGCTGCAGGCTAAGCGGATTTACGGACGTTGCCGCGAAGTGCATATTCATGAGAGTCTTTTGTCATTCCGCGGAAAGGATTATTTATGCCGGCACAAAGTCAAAGTTCGTTGCCTTGGGTGCCGCCGAGCTTTGTGCACCTGCCCGTGATATTGCATCGATCGACCGGTAACCATTGATTTTTTTTTTCCCAATGCGTTTTTTCCCGACTGCTCGTAAAACTGTAAATATGCAGAACACCGATGCGTTCGTTACTACACCGTGCGAGTTTCCGCGTGTTCCGTTCGTGTTCGGACGTTGCCTCAAAACAGCCGCGTTTTGCGTTAAAACGGGCCGCCGAGGTCCGCTCCGCAAAGTGTGGGGCTATTTTTGCTTTACCGGATTTTTATCGCGTTTCGTCCCGGCATTTTTGCGAATTAAAAAGGCAAATGGGACGAGCGGCGACGATTGCTCGGCCGTAAAATTTAAACCGCGGAGTGATAGTTTCGGCTCGACGTAAAGCGGAGTCCGTGGGTAGGCTTACCGCATCAAAGCGCGATTTCGCCAGGGGGAGTTCGCGCGTAATCGAGAATGCTCGTAAGCGCACGCGATCGTGCACTGAGGATGTACTTAAGGCACGCGTCGGGCCCTTTGAATCCCGACTCTCTTGCGGTTGCGATTCATGAATTTGCATACGCGCTCATCTCCTCGTGCCTCCGATCTCCGCGTTCAATGGAAAAATCGTTACGCCATGAACGCGTGCCGTACCCGCGTACCAATGTTTTGCGGGTCAACGGAAATTGTCAGGGACAACGGAAATTCCCTACTTTCCCAAAAATCGCGGATAGAGATCGCTCCTCGTTTGAGCTCCTCCGGCCGACGTTAATTGGACACATTTCGCGTGTCATCGAGACCCAAACGCGACGATCGTCCCCCTCGGTGGGTACTTGGGACTCGAGAGACGCATTAGAAGGGTGGAATTACTCGAAGTCTTGACGCGCCGGTGAACGTAGACCGGTCTCGATTTACCGGGCCGCATTCGCTCTGCCAATTAGCGGCCTCGAACTTCGAGGACCGGAAAGCAACGATATAATGGCCGTGCCTGCCGTCGCGCCGTCGATCGTCAATCGCACCTTTGACTCGAGGTCTCTACGTCGATAAGCCCGAATCGCTCGACTTGGCGCAATTGACGACCTACGCCTATACGTACAAGAGCTCGCGTTCGCATCCGCTCCACCGCATCGGCAACGTCGTCGCGTCGATTTTCCGTGAAATACTCCCATGCGATGCGCACCGTCGCGTTAAGCGACGGTTTTCCCTCGGCGAGACCCGATAGGGAAAAATTCTTCCCGAGGAAGTTTTCGGGATAAGAACGGGGCGGGAGTTTCGGCCGAGACGTTTTTGGGTACGGCGACGCTCGGGGAACGGGGAGCGGACTTTAATCTTTTCTTTTCCGAGGACGGGATGTCCGAATTATTGGAATTCTAGGATGGGAATACGTTTGATTACACGTCGACCCCGCGTCAGGGTGGATACCCTCGAGTCGATCGAGTCGGCACCGGATCGATGGTCCGACTCTGCCGTGCCGGAAAGGTTGCACCTACGCGACCGGCATCGCCGAATTGCCTCCATCGCGCAATTGAGCATTTTTCTCGGCGAGTCGTGTCGACCGAGGTTACGTGGGGCCCGCGCTCGGTCGCGCAAGGAATAATTTCGTCGTTCCGGCTAGGTACGTCCGATCGCGGAAAAATTGATCTTTCATCGGATCGGTTCGCGAGATGCGCTGATTCCGGCCGAGTATCTTATCCGCGCCGATTACGCGCGACGCGCCGTGATCGATCGCGGATCCGCGAGTGATTTTCTCCGAAAATAATTAACGAACCCGGTTCCGGCCCGTACACGCCGTTGGTGGCGCAACGGCGCACGAAATGTAAACGCGACCTTACACGTCCAATTTGGACGAATCAATTAGGCGACGAGCTCGTAACGCGGCTACATCGTTATGGAAATGTTTACGGGTCGCGGGTCTACTAACAATTTTAGCAGGTCGCGCGAGTGGACGCCCACGCATTTTCCGCGCACTCGTAAACGGCGGATTACGCCGTCGGACGACGTCGGTTAATTATCGGCCGAGCGACGACGCTTCGTTCGAGAGCCCCGCCGACGGAAGGGGCGTTTCCGCGCGCGAAAAAAGACCAGGTGGATCCGCCAAAGTGGACCGCTAAATGCGTTTCGCGCTGTTTTCCGTAGTCCTCTTTTCGGCGGCACTGCTGCCCCGCTGGGCATTAAAAAGTGGCAATGACCAGGTCGTTTCTGGAACGCGCGACCGATCGCTCCAAGAACGCCGTCGTACTTTTTCGCGTCGTAATGGCGACTTTTGCTACAACCGACTATTAGCGTCTTTCGCGCCTCTCGAGCAAGGGAGTAAGGAATCGCATTCGAAAGCCTTTAAAAGGAGCGTCGAATTCCCGATGCAGACGGGTGCGTCTTTTCGCCTCGTTCTTCAAAGCGACGCGACTTAACGACCGCCGACTCGGAAAGTCTCGATCGCGATGCGGAAACCGGGGTCGCCGATGCGTCGCGATTTCGGACTGCCTCCCGCGGCCAAAAAGGAGCGGAGCGCGGTGTCGCTCGCGACGAGATCTCATTAGCATTTAGAGTGGAGCTGGATTTATTTTCTATGGACAGCGCACCGTTTCATAACACCGCACGCATATAGGATTATCCGCGAAGAGTCCGGGCGACCCCCGAAATTATTTCCCCAAAGAATGGAGCGCTCCGCCTCGCGCCCCTGCCCGGCCGTTTCCGGGACGACTCCCTCTAGCCGCGATTATTCCATTAACGTCGTCGTTAATTCCGGTCCCACGGAGACTGGCGAAAAAAAATCCGTCCGTCGAAATTCGGGCACGCGAGCGAAACGGCGCAGAGGAGAGTGCGGGGCAAGTTTCCGG